GGTGCGGTGTCCGCGGTGCGGTGCTCAGCGTTGTGCAGCAGTTGAGGGCGGTGTGAGCCTCGCCCAGCTGCGCCCGGCCCTGGTTCAGCCCCCCCCGGGGCCACGTTGGGCAATCGCCGGCTGTAACGGCGGATCGGGACGTGCCTGCGGTCCCCACGTCGGCCCGGGCCCCTCCCTTCCCTTCCGCGTTGTAGTTTTTGCTGTTATCGCGCTTCCATCTTGTTTTCTCCATTTCTTCTCTCTCTCCCTTTTTCTTTTCTTTCTTCTCTTTCTTTCTTATGCCTCTTTTTACACCTCTGTATCTCTTTTCTTCCCCAAGTTTAGGACTGAGCTCCCGGTGCTGCCCCGCTGCTCCTTGCTGATGTGAGCTGATCATCTTTAGGGTTTGCTTTCACTTTGGGCATCCCTGAAAGCAGCTTGCCCCATCTCCCTGCCTCTTCTCACTGCCCAGAATACTCTGCCTGTGTTATGTGCTCCTCTCTGGGGTGTAAGGGGCTGCTTTAGAGCTAAGATGGGGCTGTGGGGTCGGATGGGCACAGGGGGAACACCGGGAGCTGCTCGGGCATGTTGGGTGCACCCACGCTTGCTCAGGAATTCCTGCTGGAAACTATGATTCAGAGCAGGGGAAAATTCAGAGCAGGCAGGAAATGGGTGGGGAAGGGCCCTTCCCCCACCTGATTTCCCTCATTTATTGCCCCTCACGTTGGAAATAATAATTAAAAAAGAAGTTGCTTTTTCTTTTCCCCGAACTCCAACCTCTTCTAAATTGGGAACAGCCTCATTGCAAACAGAACAGACCTGAACAGGAAGGCTGCTGCTCTGCGGGCTTCACACACTTCCCCCTGTGCTTTGCGCTTCCCTCTGTGTCCTGAACATGGAAATGAAAACTGGGCTGAGTGCCGTTTCCCACCTTTGCGAGAGGAAATCCCAGCAGGGCTGTGCCTGGCCCAGTGCTGTCTGTAATACGGGGTCATTGGAGGTTTCTGCTGCTGCTGTGTTTGCTATGGAGGCGTTGGCAGTGTGTGCAGACAGCCCATCTGTGCTGCTGTGTGTTTGTCACTGGGTCACACAGCAGTCGTGTGCAAAGGAGGGTGGTGGGGAGCAGAGCAATGCAGCTGGATGGGGCAGGGTCTGGTGAGAGATCTCCTTGCTGCGTGACCTGGTGTGTATCTCAGATCAAACCACGTGAGTAGGACCCACCAAAGCAAAGTAGGAGGATTTGGTGCTATTTTAGCAGCTCCTGTCTGGATTCGGAGCCTGAAACAAGGAGAGATCTGAACTAAGACACCCTCCCACCAGACTGAGCCCTTGTATAAATTACAGATGAAGACAGCAGCAGGCAGTGCAGTCATCAGCTATTTATTATGATTTTTCATGCAATACATCAGTGTGAAGAAGAAACCCCAATGCACCCTCCGCCACCATTTCCCTGTGGTATCCACGCAGAACTTCGCCACTTCAAAGCCTCCGTGATGCTGGGGCTGGGATTCTGCTCAGCTGCCGAGAGAGCAGAAAAGTGTGACCAAAAACTTCGAGCCTGCAGAGGTGTCTTCCCAGCCTTGAGGAATTTCAGGCTCCAGGAGTACGATCAAGTGAATGGGATTTTTTTGTTTGTGCAGTGCACAGTAGAATCTGATAAGCAGCAGAGCCAGCCACGGGGCGAGGGAGACAGAGCACTGAACTGCAGAGCTGTCATGTCACAGGGCAGAAGAGACGACAGGAACGCAAAAGACTAAGACCCAAGGAATCCAATTAGAGCAGGAAACTAACTAAATACTGCAGTGGGGGGGAGGAGGGGGGGGAGGCATAGGCATAAAGAGGGCAGGCAAGAGCTTCTGATCCTGGCATAGCTCTCTACCTGTCTGTGTTGCTGAGGGTTTGTCAGGACGGGAATCCCTAAAGCCTCTCACCACCTTGCTGAGCACCCCTTTGTGTCGAGCACTTCTATGTCACTATGTGGTCACATCCTAAGTGTAGGGCAGAAGATGCTCAGAGGAGCCCTGTGGGTGCTACAGAGGGGATAACCCCTCAGGGTGCCTTGGCTTCATCCCTCGTAGGACGGCTTGGTTCTTGTGGGGCCTTGGGACTGCGTTCCTCCTCACGTTGAGGATGAGTGGTAACTTCTTGCTGGGAGCTCCTTTTGCTGTTTTCCTCTTCTCGTGTCTGGCGGCTCCTTTCTGGTGAGGGGAGCTCTGCATCCTCGTGGCAGCAGCCAGCATCGTCCTTTTGGTGACGTGGCTCTTCTGCAGCTCGCTGGCCCTGCTTCTGAGCTTCCTGCAGCGCTGGATCCCGGGATGGAGGTGGTTGGCTCTTGGCCTCCCTGTCTTTGTTTCCTTGGGAATCATCTTCCTGTGAGACTTCCTCTCCAGTGGCTTTTGGTCCATCACCCTCTGGCTGATGATTCTTCTCTTCCACATCATGGAGCCGGGGACTTTGGTGGTCCCTCCTGTCTTCCCTGGGCTCGGACTGTCTGGTCTCACCCTTCAAGCCTTCCAACTCAGGGGCAGAAGCCTGCTGAGCCCTCTCCTTTACTGCTATTGCAGACCTTTCCCGAGTCTCACCTTTCCTAGGCTCCTTGAGCTCCCTTGCATTTTCCTGGGAACTGGAAGATGGCAGATGCCGTGGTTCAGGCTTCAGGACACTACTGTCTTTGCACGGCCCTGCTGGTGGCTGTGGTGAAACATAGCATTTCCTTACATAGACAGGCTGCTCTGAGTCATTGGACTGCTGGCAGATGATCTCATAAGTGGTAGCTTCGGGATCATTCAGATTCTGGATAACATGGATCAAATATGCAATGGTCTGAGGCTCACAGGGCTCAGGGACAGTCTGTACCTCTGGGCGTACATCAGGGTCAGAGGGAATATAGCGGACCCTCACATCACTGACAGATGGCACTTCTCCACGGGGGACGAGGTCTCTGCTATCAATGTCCACAGTTTGGTAGAGGCTTCTGTCCTGCCTTCTTCCCTGATCATCGTGTACTGGGAACCTATTTTGCTCTACTTCCAGGTCCCGCTGACGATCAAGTCTCCTTTCCTTTACAATGGCCTCTTCCCTCACTTGTGCCCGTACAGTCCTCCTCTCCTCCACAGGTTCCTCAAGATTAAGGAGGCGATCTCTCTGCTCTGCCTCTTCATGGCAGATCCCCGCTTCAGCTGCAGCCACAGTTCCCTCTTGAGTCCTTGCATTCGTCACAAATTTACGTGGTCTCCTGTCCTTTTCTTCATGCAACCGTTCTCTGGAAACATGGCGAATTTCTACATCAGCTTCAGCTTCAGCTACAATGTCCTCTTGTATCCTCTGGAACCTGTCTGATTCTTGTGGTCTCCTGGCCTCCTCCTCTCTGTCCCTTTTTCGGGTCACACGTCGGATCTCCACATCAGCTTCAGCTTCAGCCACAATGTCCTCCCGTGTCCGTTCGTTCCTTATGGATTCACGGGGTCTTCTGGCTTCCTCTTGTCTCTCCCGTTCCCGGGAAACACGGCGAATCTCCACGTCTGCTTCAGCTTCAGCTACAATGTCCTCCCGTGTCTTCACGTACCTGCCTGTTTCACGGGGTCTCCTGGCCTGTTCTCTGTCCCTTTCTTGGGTCACACGGCGGATCTCCACATCAGCTCCAGCTTCAGCCACAGTATCCTCCCGTGTCCGTTCGTACCTCACTGATTCACGGGGTCTCCTTGCCTCCTCTTGTCTCTCCCGTTCTTGGGTCACACGGCGGATCTCCACATCAGCTTCAGCTTCAGCTACAATGTCCTCCCTTATCCGTTCGCTCCTTATGGATTCACGGGGTCTCCTTGCCTCCACTTGTCTCTCCCGTTCCCGGGAAACACGACGGATCTCCACGTCTGCTTCAGCTTCAGCTACAATGTCCTCCCGTGTCTTCATGTACCTCCCTGTTTCACGGGGTCTCCTGGCCTGTTCTCTGTCCCTTTCTTGGCTCACACGTCGGATCTCCACATCAGCTTCAGCTTCAGCTACAATGTCCTCCCTTATTCGTTCATTCCTTATGGATTCACGGGGTCTCCTGGCTTCCTCTTGTCTCTCCCGTTCCCCGGAGACACATCGGATCTCCACGTCTGCTTCAGCTTCAGCCACAATGTCCTCCCGTGTCTTCACGTACCTGCCTGTTTCATGGGGTCTCCTGGCCTGTTCTCTGTCCCTTTCTTGGCTCACACGTCGGATCTCCACATCAGCTTCAGCTTCAGCTACAATGTCCTCCCGTATCCGTTCGTTCCTTATGGATTCACGGGGTCTCCTTGCCTCCACTTGTCTCTCCCGTTCCCGGGAAACACGACGGATCTCCACATCAGCTTCAGCTTCAGCCACAATGTCCTCCCGTGTCTTCACGTACCTGCCTGTTTCACGGGGTCTCCTGGCCTGTTCTCTGTCCCTTTCTTGGGTCACACGGCGGATCTCCACATCAGCTTCAGCTTCAGCCACAATGTCCTCACTTATCCGTTCGTACCTTATGGTTTCACGGGGTCTTCTGGCTTCCTCTTGTCTCTCCCGATCCCGGGAAACACGGCGAATCTCCACGTCTGCTTCAGCTTCAGCTACAATGTCCTCCCGTGTCTTCACGTACCTGCCTGTTTCACGGGGTCTCCTGGCCTGTTCTCTGTCCCTTTCTTGGGTCACACGGCGGATCTCCACATCAGCTCCAGCTTCAGCCACAGTATCCTCCCGTGTCCGTTCGTACCTCACTGATTCACGGGGTCTCCTTGCCTCCTCTTGTCTCTCCCGTTCTTGGGTCACACGGCGGATCTCCACATCAGCTTCAGCTTCAGCTACAATGTCCTCCCTTATTCGTTCATTCCTTATGGATTCACGGGGTCTCCTGGCTTCCCCTTGTCTCTCCCGTTCCCCGGAGACACGTCGGATCTCCACGTCTGCTTCAGCTTCAACTACAATATCCTCCAGTATACGCTCAGTCCTCCTCACTGATTCACGGGGTGTCCTGGCTTCGGCGTCTCTCTTGCGTTCCTGGGTCACACGGCGGATCTCCACATCAGCTTCAGCTTCAGCCACAATGTCCTCCCGTGTCTTCACGTACCTCACGGATTCACGGGGTCTCCCGTCCTCTTCCCATCGCTTTTCTTGGCTCACACGTCGGATCTCCACATCAGCTTCAGCTACAATGTCCTCCCTTATCCGTTCGTTGCTTATGGATTCACGGGGTCTCCTTGCCTCCTCTTGTCTCTCCTGTTCCCGGGAAACACGACGGATCTCCACATCAGCTTCAGCTTCAGCCACAATGTCCTCCTGTGTCTTCACGTACCTGCCTGTTTCACGGGGTCTCCTAGCCTGTTCTCTGTCCCTTTCTTGGGTCACACGGCGGATCTCCACATCAGCTTCAGCTTCAGCCACAATGTCCTCCCGTGTCTTCACGTACCTCCCTGTTTCACGAGGTCTCCTGGCCTGTTCTCTGTCCCTTTCTTGGCTCACACGTCGGATCTCCACATCAGCTTCAGCTACAATGTCCTCCCTTATCCGTTCCTTCCTTATGGATTCACGGGGTCTCCTGGCTTCCTCTTGTCTCTCCCGTTCCCCGGAGACACGTCGGATCTCCACGTCTGCTTCAGCTTCAGCCACAATGTCCTCCCGTGTCTTCACATACCTCACGGATTCACGGGGTCTCCTGGCCTGTTCTCTGTCCCTTTCTTGGGTCACACGGCGGATCTCCACATCAGCTTCAGCTTCAGCTACAATGTCCTCCCTTATCCGTTCGCTCCTTATGGATTCATGGGGTCTCCTTGCCTCCTCTTGTCTCTCCAGTTCCCGAGAAACACGACGGATCTCCACGTCTGCTTCAGCTTCAGCCACAATGTCCTCCCGTGTCCGTTCGTTCCTTATGGATTCACGGGGTCTCCTTGCCTCCTCTTGTCTCTCCCGTTCCCTGGAAACACGGCGAATCTCCACGTCTGCTTCAGCTTCAGCCACAATGTCCTCCCGTGTCTTCACGTACCTACCTATTTCACGGGGTCTCCTGGTCTGTTCTCTGTCCCTTTCTTGGGTCACACGGCGGATCTCCACATCAGCTTCAGCTTCAGCTACAATATCCTCCAGTATACGCTCAGTCCTCCTCACTGATTCACGGGGTCTCCTGGCTTCGGCGTCTCTCTTGCGTTCCTGGGTCACACGGCGGATCTCCACATCAGCTTCAGCTTCAGCCACAATGTCCTCCCGTGTCTTCACGTACCTCACGGATTCACGGGGACTCCCGTCCTCTTCCCATTGCTTTTCTTGGGTCACACGTCGGATCTCCACATCAGCTTCAGCTTCAGCTACAATGTCCTCCCGTGTCCGTTCGTTCCTTATGGATTCACGGGGTCTCCTTGCCTCCTCTTGTCTCTCCTGTTCCCGGGAAACACGACGGATCTCCACATCAGCTTCAGCTTCAGCTACTATGTCCTCCCGTGTCTTCACGTACCTCACGGATTCACAGGGTCTCCTGGCCTGTTCTCTGTCCCTTTCTTGGGTCACACGGCGGATCTCCACATCAGCTTCAGCTACAATGTCCTCCCGTGTCCGTTCGTTCCTTATGGATTCACGGGGTCTCCTTGCCTCCTCTTGTCTCTCCCGTTCCCGAGAAACACGACGGATCTCCACATCAGCTTCAGCTTCAGCTACAATGTCCTCCCGTGTCTTCACGTACCTCACGGATTCACGGGGTCTCCTGGCCTGTTCTCTGTCCCTTTCTTGGGTCACACGGCGGATCTCCACATCAGCTTCAGCTACAATGTCCTCCCGTGTCCGTTCGTTCCTTATGGATTCACGGGGTCTCCTTGCCTCCTCTTGTCTCTCCCGTTCCTGGGAAACACGGCGAATCTCCACGTCTGCTTCAGCTTCAGCCACAATGTCCTCCCGTGTCTTCACGTACCTGCCTGTTTCACGGGGTCTCCTGGCCTGTTCTCTGTCCCTTTCTTGGGTCACACGGCGGATCTCCACATCAGCTTCAGCTTCAGCTACAATATCCTCCAGTATACGCTCAGTCCTCCTCACTGATTCACGGGGTCTCCTGGCTTCGTCTTCTCTCTTGTGTTCCTGGGTCACACGGCGGATCTCCACATCAGCTTCAGCTTCAGCCACAAAGTCCTCCCTTATCCGTTCGTTGCTTATGGATTCACGGGGTCTCCTTGCCTCCTCTTGTCTCTCCAGTTCCCGGGAAACACGACGGATCTCCACATCAGCTTCAGCTTCAGCCACAATGTCCTCCCGTGTCTTCACGTACCTGCCTGTTTCACGGGGTCTCCTGGCCTGTTCTCTGTCCCTTTCTTGGGTCACACGGCGGATCTCCACATCAGCTTCAGCTACAATGTCCTCCCGTGTCCGTTCGTTCCTTATGGATTCACGGGGTCTCCTGGCTTCCTCTTGTCTCTCCCGTTCCCGGGAAACACGGCGAATCTCCACGTCTGCTTCAGCTTCAGCCACAATGTCCTCCCGTGTCTTCACGTACCTCACGGATTCACGGGGTCTCCTGGCCTGTTCTCTGTCCCTTTCTTGGGTCACACGGCGGATCTCCACATCAGCTTCAGCTTCAGCTACAATATCCTCCAGTATACGCTCAGTCCTCCTCACTGATTCACGGGGTCTCCTGGCTTCGGCGTCTCTCTTGCGTTCCTGGGTCACACGGCGGATCTCCACATCAGCTTCAGCTTCAGCTACAATGTCCTCCCGTGTCTTCACGTACCTCACGGATTCACGGGGTCTCCCGTCCTCTTCCCATTGCTTTTCTTGGGTCACACGTCGGATCTCCACATCAGCTTCAGCTACAATGTCCTCCCTTATCCGTTCGTTGCTTATGGATTCACGGGGTCTCCTTGCCTCCTCTTGTCTCTCCTGTTCCCGGGAAACACGACGGATCTCCACATCAGCTTCAGCTTCAGCCACAAGGTCCTCCCGTGTCTTCACGTACCTGCCTGTTTCACGGGGTCTCCTGGCCTGTTCTCTGTCCCTTTCTTGGCTCACACGGCAGATCTCCACATCAGCTTCAGCTTCAGCTACAATGTCCTCCCTTATCCGTTCGTTCCTTATGGATTCACGGGGTCTCCTGGCTTCCTCTTGTCTCTCCAGTTCCCGGGAAACACGACGGATCTCCACGTCTGCTTCAGCTTCAGCCACAATGTCCTCCCGTGTCTTCACGTACCTCCCTGTTTCACGAGGTCTCCTGGCCTGTTCTCTGTCCCTTTCTTGGGTCACACGGCGGATCTCCACATCAGCTTCAGCTTCAGCTACAATGTCCTCCCTTATTCGTTCATTCCTTATGGATTCACGGGGTCTCCTGGCTTCGGCGTCTCTCTTGCGTTCCTGGGTCACACGGCGGATCTCCACGTCTGCTTCAGCTTCAGCCACAATGTCCTCCCGTGTCTTCACGTACCTGCCTGTTTCACGGGGTCTCCTAGCCTGTTCTCTGTCCCTTTCTTGGGTCACACGGCGGATCTCCACATCAGCTTCAGCTACAATGTCCTCCCTTATCCGTTCGTTCCTTATGGATTCACGGGGTCTCCTGGCTTCCTCTTGTCTCTCCCATTCCTGGGAAACACGGCGAATCTCCACATCAGCTTCAGCTTCAGCTACAATGTCCTCCCGTGTCTTCACGTACCTGCCTGTTTCACGGGGTCTCCTGGCCTGTTCTCTGTCCCTTTCTTGGCTCACACGGCAGATCTGCACATCAGCTTCAGCTTCAGCTACAATGTCCTCCCTTATCCGTTCGCTCCTTCTGGATTCACGGGGTCTCCTTGCCTCCTCTTGTCTCTCCTGTTCCCGAGAAACACGACGGATCTCCACATCTGCTTCAGCTTCAGCTACAATGTCCTCCCTTATTCGTTCATTCCTTATGGATTCACGTGGTCTCCTGGCTTCCTCTTGTCTCTCCAGTTCCCGAGAAACACGACGGATCTCCACATCAGCTTCAGCTTCAGCCACAATGTCCTCCTGTGTCTTCACGTACCTGCCTGTTTCACGGGGTCTCCTAGCCTGTTCTCTGTCCCTTTCTTGGGTCACACGGCGGATCTCCACATCAGCTTCAGCTACAATGTCCTCCCTTATCCGTTCCTTCCTTATGGATTCACGGGGTCTCCTGGCTTCCTCTTGTCTCTCCCATTCCTGGGAAACACGGCGAATCTCCACGTCTGCTTCAGCTTCAGCTACAATGTCCTCCCGTGTCTTCACGTACCTCACGAATTCACGGGGTCTCCTGGCCTGTTCTCTGTCCCTTTCTTGGCTCACACGTCGGATCTCCACATCAGCTTCAGCTACAATGTCCTCCCTTATCCGTTCCTTCCTTATGGATTCACGGGGTCTCCTTGCCTCCTCTTGTCTCTCCAGTTCCCGGGAAACACGACGGATCTCCACATCAGCTTCAGCTTCAGCTACAATGTCCTCCCGTGTCTTCACGTACCTCACGGATTCACGGGGTCTCCTGGCCTGTTCTCTGTCCCTTTCTTGGCTCACACGGCGGATCTCCACATCAGCTTCAGCTTCAGCTACAATGTCCTCCCGTGTCCGTTCGTTCCTTATGGATTCACGGGGTCTCCTTGCCTTCTCTTGTCTCTCCCGTTCCCTGGAAGCACGGCGAATCTCCACGTCTGCTTCAGCTTCAGCCACAATGTCCTCCCGTGTCTTCACGTACCTGCCTGTTTCACGGGGTCTCCTGGCCTGTTCTCTGTCCCTTTCTTGGCTCACACGACAGATCTCCACATCAGCTTCAGCTTCAGCTACAATATCCTCCAGTATACGCTCAGTCCTCCTCACTGATTCACGGGGTCTCCTGGCTTCGTCTTCTCTCTTGCTTTCCTGGGTCACACGACGGATCTCCACATCAGCTTCAGCTTCAGCTACAATGTCCTCCCTTATCCGTTCCTTCCTTATGGATTCACGGGGTCTCCTTGCCTCCTCTTGTCTCTCCAGTTCCCGGGAAACACGACGGATCTCCACATCAGCTTCAGCTTCAGCTAGAATGTCCTCCCGTGTCTTCACGTACCTCCCTGTTTCACGAGGTCTCCTGGCCTGTTCTCTGTCCCTTTCTTGGCTCACACGACGGATCTCCACATCAGCTTCAGCTTCAGCTAGAATGTCCTCCCGTGTCTTCACGTACCTCCCTGTTTCACGAGGTCTCCTGGCCTGTTCTCTGTCCCTTTCTTGGCTCACACGTCGGATCTCCACATCAGCTTCAGCGTCAGCTACAATGTCCTCCCTTATTCGTTCATTCCTTATGGATTCACGGGGTCTCCTGGCTTCCTCTTGTCTCTCCCGTTCCCCGGAGACACGTCGGATCTCCACGTCTGCTTCAGCTTCAGCTACAATGTCCTCCCGTGTCTTCACGTACCTGCCTGTTTCACGGGGTCTCCTGGCCTGTTCTCTGTCCCTTTCTTGGGTCACACGGCGGATCTCCACATCAGCTTCAGCTTCAGCCACAATATCCTCCCGTATCTGCTCAGTCCTCCTCACTGATTCACGGGGTCTCCTTACTTCTCTCTCCCTGTTTCGTATCACATGTTGGATCTCCACATCAGCTTCAGCTTCAGCCACAATGTCTTTTCTTGTCCTTTCATACGTTGTGGATTCATGTGATCTCCTGCCCTTCTGTGTTTTCCCTTGTTCATAGTTGTCTTCTTCTAGCTCCCTTGTGTTATTGTATCTGCGGTCTATTACTAGCGGTTCCTGGAGGTATGACTGATGCAGCCTTTCTGAATCCATGTATTCAGACTTGCACGGCTGGCGGCTGCTTCTTTCAAGTTCTTTTTGTTCCAGCTCACGTAGGTGGTTGCGGCTTCTGTCTTCTTTGAGTAATTCAGGCTTTTGCATTTGATTGCACGTTCCTCTATCTGCTTCTTCTGGCTCATGTGGCCGACGGCTGCTTCTCCCATGTGCCACTGCCTCTTGATCTTGTGGTCGATGGTTTCTTTGATCATACACTGGCAATGTTGATTCACGTGGCTGACGGCCACTCCGCCGGTCTGGCAGCAACTGTGGTTCACAGGAATGGCTGCAGCTCCTCACGTCTGCTAGTTGCTCTCGTTGAGGCTTTTCTTGATTTTGTCTTTCATCTCTCTGCGCAGTCCTCAAGCTGCCACGCTTGTGGTTTTGTAAATCTCCCAGTCTGTCCAGCTCGGGTGGCTGATGTCTTCGGCTGCTTCGTTGGTCGCATGGCTCTTGGTTTTGTTCTTCATATTCCTGAGGGGTCATTTCCCTTGGCCTGGTGCTTTGTCTTGCATCAGCTCTACTTTGTGTGTTACGTTGCTGGCGATGACTTCCCGTCTCCTCTTGTGTCTCAAGATCCTGGGCCCTGGTGTCTCGTTGTGGCTCAGGTATGCAGGGGGGATGGCGATTGCGTTCAAGTGTTCGTGATTCCTCTTCCTGGAACTGCTGACGGCTCCCTCCGTTCCTAATTTCAGGCTCTTGGACTGTCTTGCTGCTGGTTACCAGCTTTGTTCTTTGCAGAAGGCATCGTCCCTTCTGCTGGTACCAGTAGCAGGCCTTAGCCACTCTGAATACTAAAAGCAGGAACTCATTAAAATCGATTTCCCCATCCCCATCCCACTCCAGAAACTGCAGAATCTTGTCAATTGTCTGAGGGTCATGTGGGTTCTGTAGAAAAAACACACAAAGAGAAACAAAAAGCCTTGCTGCTCCTTGTCAGGAAATACAAACCCAGCGATAATGACAATCTCTTCTACTTGCATCTCTCTTAGGTTCTCTCAGCATCCCCTCCATGGCTGTGTTCTCCATTTTCCTGGTGGTGGTTCCCTGGCAACAGCTAAACATTTGGTGATGCCATATCCCTCCTCCAAATGCATTTCTTTCCTATCTTTGAAAGTAAACTAACTCACCATTCTTTCTCCAATTTTTCCCATTTGTTCACAGCAAAACCTATAGAAAGAACTTTTGCAGACAGTACAAAACCGCACATCTGCTGTGCCCCATTGGCAAAAGCCTCTGTATCCCATTTCCCTCTGGTCACAAGAATCACTCCCTCTCCAGAAAGTTTTCTGGTCACTTCAATTTTGTCCTCAACCTTTGCCCATCACTGCAGCACTCACCACTATGGCATCTGCAAATTCCTTCTGGATGAACTCCTTCATCTTCCTTCGGTTGAGTTTGGATTGGTCTCCATCTTCCTTTGCGTGTTGGTGAAAGACAGTAATGATGGTGGAAACGCTGTCTAAGAAGTGAGACATCTTTCTGCAGATTCAAGCAAGCCTGCAAGAAAAGTAGCAGACCTTAGGATGGGAGATTTTTTGGCTGAGCATGGAAGAGGGGGAGGATTGCTGGGGTCAAGCTGTGCACATTAATGAGAGTTTGGGTGCTCTGAGCTTTGTGTCCGCTCCCCTACCATGGCAAGCTGTTCTTTACCAGGGCACTGGGAAGACATCCAAATGCTTAGGGGTTTTGGTGGGATGGGGAGTGTCCTCCAACTTGTCTGCTGACGTATTGGAATGACGTTTGGTATGGGATGGCATGATGCCAGCATTTTTGGGTTGCAGGGAGGGGATTGGCGATGGTGACTCAAGAGATACCCCAAGAACCTGTCCCTGTGGGCTCTACCAGCTCCTTCAGTTTCTAGAACCAACACAGCTCTTTCTGCTTGGCACTGGGATACACCAGCTCCTCTGGAGAGGTCAGAGGATGTCTAAGGCAGTGCTGGCACATTCTGAGAGAAGACCCAGCTTGAGCAGAGGTGGATAGAGCATTCACAAGCATTCGCTTGTTTAGAGGGTTAAAGAAGCCCTATGACCGGCAGCAATGCAAATCAAGAGATGAATCTCATGTTACAGCACCAGCTTGTTGTCCAACAGATTTTGGCCAAAGAGAACAGTCACATCACCCAGGTCAGAAATATTGTTTGAATTTAATGGCAATCTCCTGGGCAGAAAGCAGTGCTCCTGCTTGAGCTTTGTGTCTGGAAACCTCAAATGCCACCTCCATGCTCCTTGCAGGATCCCCAAGCCTGTTATCGGCTGCATTGGTGCCAGGATCTCGGCTTGCAGCTGGGGAAGCTGCTCCCTGCCTGCTTGCAGTGTGCACACATGCATGAACACGTGCACGCACCTCTGCGTGCAAAACCTCTGTCTTGCTATTTTTGTGGAAAACCGAACACTTCTTCAATCTTTTCACCCTAGGTGGGAGATGAGTGCAGACCAAAGCGAGGCGCCAGACCTGGCTCCGTCTCTCCTTTTTGTTTAGAGGAAAACTGCCTTTCCACACAACACACAACAAAGAGCACGCAGCTGTCCAAGTGGTGAAAAATAACATTTCATTGAAGACAAACCCGAAAGACGCCCGGAAAATACTGCAGCAGAAACGTCATTGCCACCCAAAGCAGATCCTACAGAAATCATTCATTTTCAGCCAGCAAATCATGCTTTTCAGAAGGAACGACTTACCCAAGTCACCAACGGGATCGAATGGGATTCCTGTGAAGCCGTGCGGAGTGATCGGAGGACCCGAGCGCTTTTATAGGGTCCTTGGTGGAGGAGCAGAAAGGAGCCACCCTTTGTGGACATTGTCCTGATTCATCTTTGGCCAAACCCAGCTGCACCTTCATGTCCTCAAACGGGTTATTTAACTTATCATCCCATTACCTATCATTTTAACCCAGAAATAGCAGTTGCCATGTGGCAATTCAGGCATCTGCTGGTTCCGCCTAATCCGGACTGTAAAGTTATTTTACGGGCTGATTGTATTTCAGATTTAAAAAAAAAAAAATCTACACTGCCTATAAAGCATATATATACATTAATGGGAGGATGTATTTTTTTATGAACATGTATCTTCATAGGTATGCATTTATGTATGCATAATACATGCACATAAAAATAGCACCAGAGTGAACCAGGGAGAGTGTTGTAAGCAGATTTGGGGACCTGCCCACTGTTTTGCAGATCCTTGGGGCTGGGGTCTAGCAGTTTGGCTTTGGGTTTTACTCATCCAGGAAGGATGGAAGAAGCCCCAAGAACTACAGAAGTGAAATGTAGGTGGGCAGCAGAGAGATCTCCAAATCCTGCAGGAGATCTTTGCTGTTGTAGTGATCTTGTAGCATGTGCTGAAATACATATATATTTTTTTTCTCCTTAATAACTTCTTACTGAGAAGCCTTTCGTTGTATTATCCGGATTTTGGTTGGAAAAAGAAAAAAAAAAGAAAAAAAAAAGCCCAAACCAACAAAAAATTGTGAACAGTAAAATCTGCAAAACGGACTTTTTAACCAGAAAACGCCTATTTCAACGTTCAACGACTTAAAATGATGATACAACATGTTTTCATGTTAACTCTTTTCCGTGAGCAGATTTCATTCCAACTTTTCTTGATCTTTAATTAAAACTAAAAGTGGAAATGTCTCGGCTGGGAGCTCGATTCATGTTGAATCTGGTCGCTCTAGGCAACTTTCGCTGTAATTGCCTCTCTGATTCCCCCCCTTTTTTTTTTCCTTTAATGCAAGTGTAAATGAATTACAGACCAATGGATTCCTTTATTGCTCCCAAACTCTCCCCATGCAGGGAGCATACAAGGAAAGCTTTGGCTATGCCACCTGGGCTCTGTGTTGGAGCTAAGCTGCATGACATGACGGAGACATTGCGGGCAGCTCCGGAGCAGGAACTTGCCACACAGCCTTGACTGAGCTGCTCATCTGTCCCATCTGATGGTAAGAACATACTGGGTGTAGGAGCCTAATTAATTAGTGCTGGTAACACCTTGGGGATACTCATACAAGTGCTCACAGAGGATTGTTACTAACCGTGCTTCATTTTTGAGCTTTTTTTCAGGATTAAATTATACTGGTGTAAATTATACCCCACCTGCGGGATAATGATACCCTTGGGAAACTGTAATTTTATGGTAGATTGCAGTTATTATTAAAATTAGAGCATTACAGTGTGGCTGGAGCTTGTACACACAGTGTCCTATAACAGTCTGCAATCCCCGCAGGGGTTGGGGACATCGGGAGGCACCGGGCAGATTTCAGGTTTTAGTAGAGGCAGAGGTCCATGGAAGCAGCACCAAACTTTGTTCTCCAAAGGCTTGAGAAGGGGCTCTCAAAGGGGGGTTTGGGTCAGTTTTTCAGTGCTGTTACCCAGCAGGGTGGGCTCCATTCTCCTCTCTCCATCCAGTTCTGTGTGAATCGCTGTCTGTGTTTGTATAGGGTGGCCAAGCCTCATTTGGTTGTTGAGATCACCCATTGGTCATCCATCAGTGGGATCATCCATTGGTGTTTGGATCATCTGTCAATCAGTGAGATCATCCAATGATCATTGGGATTGCCCATTATTTAGTAGGACCGTCCAGTGATCATTGGGATTGCCCTTTGTTTAATAGGATCATCCATTGATTCTATGATTTAATCCCAGAAGAATTGGGCTCCTCATGGGGCACATAAGAGACGTCTATCACTTCCCAGCCTTGCAGATGTCTTAAACAGGTCCTTGTGTCTGCAGGGTAATTTTCACTCTGCTGTAATGTTCTTAAAATGAAACAAAAAAAAAAAAACCTCCCCCCAACTTAAAATACAACACTCCAAAAGTAGAATAACTCGGAATAGTGTATAATTATCACACCATTAACAGAAATGGTGGGTTGCTTTTTTACTGGTGCTGCAAAAGGCTGTAGTTGATGGACTGAGGAGTCTGGTAATGGGAGAACTGAAGCGGGGCCAGTAAGTAGCAAAGGGCTCTTCAACAATCCTCAACCAAGAGCTGTTTTGCAAGAAAAATTCCATTTTCTGGAAATGAAAATGTTCTGAGGAATATCTCAGATGGAATGGGAGTTTTGATGGATTTGTGATGGAACTTAAATCTTGTCTGTCCCATTTCATTTTGACAACACTCGCAGCTGCCATTAAGGTGGGTCAGGGTCTGCTTTCTCCAACGTCTTTTATCATCACAAGAGCAGAGTGGTGCATTTTGTGTCCGGCGCATTTAACTGTGACATCAGTGCTTATAGACCAAATCATTTTCAAAAAGTGTCTTCTTAGAGATCATCTTCAAATGCTGCTTTTTTTTTTTTTTTTTGGTTCTGATTCAGCACACAGCAAATTGTGAAATTCCGGTGTGTCCCGGAGCATTGACGTTCTGTTTCCCGGTGAGGTCTCTGTGTTCTGCTTGTCACCGGCCACAGAGCAGGAGGTGCGGGTGCATTTATCATCCGCTGATTTGGCTGATAGGTCGCCGGCAAAAGATAATATGGGGAAAAACAGGCTGAGCATCACCTCCCTGCGGGATGCGGAATCCTGGTGGTCCGGCACATCCAAACCCATAATAACCCCTCTGACTTCAGTGGGCTGCTTGCACCCACAATCACCCACATCCCTACGTGCACATCCGGAGCTGGTACCCGAAATTCCCGAGGCTGAGGCCAGGTCCACGTGTGCATGGATTGCGTGTCAGCTTTTTGCACTCAGCCTCCCAGGTGTTACTGGGACCGTGTGTATGTGAATAATGAGGGTTAATATCCCTCAGCTCCTCTCGGAGCATTCAGTAGCTAACAGGGATTTTCCATTTTCATACTGTGTTCCGCATCTCCCCCTTTATTTATTTTTTTAATAAGTGAGGATAAATAAGACAAATCCCTCCCACTGAGCATTCAGAGCTCTTGATTCTTTTTACAGCAGACACGCACAGTGACTGGAACAGATGCATGCTGCCAGGTAGCTGCTCAGAGGCCATTATGCTATTGCATCAATCCCAACACCCACCCTCACTGAAGACATTGGATATCACATCCCTGCCTGCAGGGACACATCGATTCACCTTGGGCTGCATGCCCCCAGGACACAGCACCACAGGGCCATGTGGCTCTGTGTCACACATGGGATGGACACTGAGGTCCTTTGTGCTAGCTCAGAATGGTGCAGCAATACACCAGGACACTGTGCTGGTTTGCAGTCAGTTTTATTGCTTTGCTTAGATAGGCAGAGGTAGCTTAATACAGGATAAGAGAGAAGGTCTCAAGCCAGGAATAGTTCAGTACAAGCTGGGGGTGCAAGCCCAGGGTTAAGAAAAGATTGGACAAGATATAACAAATGGCACTGGACAAAATATCCCACCTTGCTGGCACTAATAGCCACAATTGCACTGGGCTCAGTGCAGCTCTTACTTCTTTGGAGGCCACTGAGGCTGCAGGTGCTCTTGCTCTGCCGCATGTTTTCCTTTGCCATGAGCCCCATGTTGCTGTTGTCCTGGGACACGTTCAACCTCAACTCCACTGCCTTCTCGCACCGTCACTGTGGGGTCAGGAAGGTGAGCTGGGTTATGCTGGATCCCTGAGGAGGCCTGGGGATCTGGGTGGGGGCTTGTGCCGCTCACTGGAGGTGGCAGCTCTTGGGTCCTTTTGGGGCTGGGGTCCTGCCGATGGGCTGCATGGTCCTTGGTCTTGTCCACGGTTCTTTCTGATGTCTTGGTGGGAGAAGTGTGGCTGTGCTCTGCTGTATCCAGCTCTTGCCTCTGGTGATGGCTCTGTCCTAGCTTTGGTGTCTCGGTGATTTTGTCCTGATGGGGTGTGGGGTCATGTTTTGGTGTTTTTTCAGCTTTTGGGGTATTTCTGTCCTTCTCTGAGGTCTCAGTGACCACATTTTCACCTCTTTTTGGACCCTCTTCTTGTGCCTTGGCCCTGTCATCCTGATGGATTTCCTTTGGTGTCTCGTTCTTCTGCTTCTGTTGGGTGCCTTGGTTGTTCTTTGGTGCCTCAACCTCCTGAGTCTTTTGAGTTTCTTGAACCTTTGGTGTCTCACTCTTCTCAATTTTTTGGGTGTCCTGGTTCTTTGGTGTCCCATCTCCCTTATTCTGTTGGGTGCCTTGGTGCTTCTTTGGTTCCTTACCCTCCTGGTGCTGCTGGGTGTCCTGATCCTTTTGGGGTGTCCCACCCTCCTGCACCTGTCCACTCACCCCCTCCTCCAGGACCTGCTTGTGGTGCTGCTCCCCATCTGCCTCCTCCTGCACAGTCAGCTCCTGATCATCTTCTGCATCCAGGTAATGCTGGAGTTGCCTGTGGCAAGCCCTGGCCACGCGGAAAACCAGGTTGAGGAACTCATTAAAGTCAACCTTGCCACTGCTGTCTTCATCCAGGAAGAGCAACACCTTCTCAACAGTTCTGGGATCCCGGGCATCCTGCAAGGAAACAACATCGGCAAGGCCCATGAACCCTTTGCAGAACATCTCTGGGATCAATCACTCCAACATAAACCCATTCCCATGGCCCCACGGTGTTGCTTGATCCTCACCATGATCACATCCTCAAACTCCTGCTCGATGAGCTGCCGCAGCTCCCCTCTGCTCAGCGTTCTGCAGTCGCCGTCACTGCTGGCATAGGCATAGAAGGTAGTGATGATGCCATTGATGTTCTCCTGGAGCTGGGCCATCTCCCGACAGAATAGAGGCAGCCTGTGAGAAAGATACAAAAAAAAACACCCCAAAAGGGTCTTTTGCTTGGTTTTCAGGTAAGTGCCTCTCATACAGCGCAGCTGGACGGGAAGATGAGCCAGAAGGACTCAATAAAACCAGAGTGTTTTTCCCTCTAGGAGAGCTCAGCTTTAGCTGAATGCTCAGGGCCCTGAGCTCCCACTTTCCTGCAGGGTCTGTCTGGGCTTACCTGGGTGAGAAGAGCACGGTGTGCAGCCAACCTGCTCCCAGCAGCCTTATATACAGCAGCATCGTGCAGAGAGACAGCGTCAGCAGGGTGCCACATCCTCGCCCAAGGAAACTGTCATCCCCCTGTCTTCATTTGTCTCTCGCTCATTAACTTCTGCTCTGGTGCTTTACTCCGGAGTGAAGAGATGATCCTTCCTAAGCTCACCCCACCTGCGGATGCATTTCAGAGGAATTAAGCAGAAAAGGTTATTTTTAGTGCTGTGGGATTTAGCTGAAGGTGATGCCCAAGCAACACCCAGGTCTCTCTAGTGAACGTGTTTGGTGAGCGATGTGAGTGACTGACACGGGAGGAGGCAGCCTGGGAGTGCCCTTATGGGAATGAAGAGGAAACAGAACAAAGGGTTAAAAAAATAAAGATACACCATGCCCAGATCCAAGTGACCCCTTCCCCAAAGTTCCACTTTTGGGTGCTGGCAGGGAGGCAGCAGGCAAAGAAATCCTTTCCAACAGTGCCACCAAGTGGCACGCGGAGGGGGACAGGAGGGTGGCACGAGCTGCGGTCACCCCTGTACAGCATGGGGAAACTGAGGCACAGTGCGAGGAGGGGACACCAGCTCCTCGAGGTGGTGACATCCCCACTGTTCCCTTTGTCCTGCTGGACGTGGCTACTAAGAGAGACTGAAAAATAATAACATTGGAAATCCACACAGCTCGTAATGTGTGTTGGGTTTTGGGTACAGAAAATAACACACAGTTTTGTGCAAGAAAAGGCATTTTCAGGAAAAATGCCTGGCATGGGGAGAGGTTAATAGGAACCAGCAGTAAACTCCTATGGTTGTGCTGGGATGGGATAAGTGGGGGAGCCAAGGAGCCCCCCACACAGCTGGGGCTGCTGCAGGACAGGAAGCTTTGGTGACCCAAACTGAATGGAGGAAACTTGAAGCATGGATTCTGCTTTAATTCCTCTCCTTTAATCTATCAGTCTGTTGTATTCCATGAAGACTCCTCTTCAGGTGGGGCCCATTTGCTTCTCATTAAGCTGCAGTGAGGGGTGGGGGGGCAGTTTCTGGGAGTATCAGAGAGGCAGAAGTACATGGGGTGTTCCCACAGCTGCTATTTCTGGGCACCAGGACCCCATGCAGGGCACTTTCCTGCAGATAGCCATAGACAATATCAGGTTTTATGCTGCTCAAGGTTTCACACATGCTTTACAAAGCAGAAAGGTTGGGAGGTCAGGAGGTAGGTGAAGTTAAAGAAACAAAAACGCTGCTCTCAGCAGAGCTTGAAGCAAATGGCCACCGAGCGAAGGACAGGTGCTGCAGAGTCCTGGGCTGATGAAACCACCTGAAATGCATCTGAGTAATGAAACCACCTGAAAATATTAAGAGGCCTTTAGGGCTGCTCCCCTTGTTAGAAGTTCCCCAGCACCCTGTGACCCTCAAGGCACTGCAGTGCTGATGGGTGCGACTTGGAGGGGAGGAGGGGAACATTGCAGCACTGGTTGTGGGGCAGGATTTTGCTTTAATGTGACTCCTTCTCTTGTAATGCCACCTGTGCTTATGAGAAGAGCAAATATCGTGGGAGTTTGCCCAGGAAACAGCCACAGGGCAGTCAATCCAAGAAAGCACTGAGCAGGGTCTGCCCAGGCGCAGCATGAGGTGTGGCAGAGCAGCGGGTCTGCAGTTTGCTCACCGTAACCATCCCAAATCATTGAGGTCTATTTACCAAAGGAGCTCCATCTTCTGAGCTCACTGGTAGGAAATGTGCTGGGCACCAGGCAAACCTGCTTCTCTAGTAGGCAACTGTGTGTTCAGGCTTAGGCTGCTGGGAGCCTTTGCGCTCCGTTGCCTCCTTTAAAGAGTCGGGCCTCCTAATTTTTTCCATGTCCACCCAGTCCGCCTGTCTTTGTCTCTTTGGCACAAAGGAGCCTCTGTGAATGCCAGAGTGTGTGCTCATCCCCAGCTGGGATGGGGGTGATCCCGTGTGCTCTCATTTGGAGCGTGATTCATGTCGGACGTGCAGCAAAACAAAAGAAAGGTGTGGAAAATGCAAGTGTGGAGCGTTGCACAAGAGGCTGGAAAGAATTTAGCGGCTTTGATTGATACGGGTCTGCAACGTGGGCCAGGCTTAAACGTCTCCTGCTGTATTTTCACGTGTAAGACCTAAACTTGGGGTGAACCAAATTCACCCAATATTCTGTTAGTTGAAAACGGGGAGCCTTAGGAAGCTTCAGAAAGCCCTCCAGCTCCAGGGGAGTTGGGATGGAAGGGATGCAGGGGCAGTGCTGCATATGGGAGAGTGGGGGCTGCTGTGGGGCTGGTGCTGAGATGTGGGGCAGGGGGTGTATGGGGTGGGGAGGGGTCTGTCCCAGAGGTTGAGTTTCTCAACAGAACTGCAGCAGGAAATTCCTGTTTATTCCCGCATGACTCAGTTTAATTGTTCCTGCTCAGCAGGGAAGGGCAGAGGGGTGGGTTAGCACTGAGGACGGGGGGGCGACGGTGGTGGTGAAGTGTTGCACCAAGTGTTCAAGGCATTGAAATGCAGGTTTGGGGGAGATGGAGGGTTTTAGGGGGCTCAATGGCCTGGGTGTGCTTTGGGGGTTGGAGGATGGAGCCAACGCTGTGGTGCCTTTGCCCTGTGCAGCACTGGGAGGCAGTGGCCAGTGCAATGAGAGCCTTCTCGGCCTTTTCCCCTCTTAATCTCCAAGGGCACCTGGTGCTGAGCTCCATTCTGCCTCACTGTACACACAAAACACCATTCCCAAACTCTCCCAGAGCCCATTATGCAAAGCACTTTATCACTACATCGATGTCATTATCAGGAATTAAGATAATTGGAGTAAAAATGCTTTATTTTCCTGCGCTGTCTGGGCATTTCAGAGAGTTACTGCTGTTGCTGCCTTCTTCACTGCTAATTCATCGTGACATTAAGGAGCGTAATACATCAGCTTTTCTCTAATACATGTTTCTACTTTTTTTTTTTTTTTCTTTTTAACATATTAATGAGCACATTTAACATATTTCTTCAGAGATAATTGGATTCCGAGGCTCCCTGTGGTAATGCACCCAAAACCAACGAGCAGCGCCTCTAATATCGAAAAGGCTTTCCTGCATTTGAATAATCCCACAATGAAAATTAGGAATTAATCTCCCGGCTGAAACAAGGCTTTCCAGGATACTTTGTTTTGAGGCACTTTTAATACATGTGTTAACCATCGTTCTGGAGAATCTTAATTAAACTCTTCCTTTGCGTTTCTAGCCCAGGACCCACAGAGGGGCACAGGTATTTCGGATTATCTCATCCCCTTAATCCTCCTCATGAAGGCAGGATTTGTCTGCACTCTGTTTGCTCGCAGCTTATCGAGACGGCTGTTTGAATGCAAGGCACAGAAGGCGGTTTTGAGCACATTGTTTCCTGTAGGGGCAAAGGAGCTTCTGAGTTTCTTTTCTTCTCCCAGACCCAGATCTGCTTAAGCATACGATGGTGCGTAGCTCCCGGCGCGCCGTCACTACGGTGCTACGCTGAGAACGGGTAGGAATGCCTGTATCTCATTTTAAGCAAATATTTAGTGATTAGAGATAAAAAAAAAAATAAAGCTAAGAGAGCAGGAGGAAGGTGAGATGAGATTATCCTGTGTTTTCTGAAGCACTGCCTGTGTTCTCTCTGCAACGTCGGCACCAGCAGGAATCAGCGCAGCGCGCACCGCCAGAGGGCGCGCGGTGTGCGCGTGCACAGATTTGTGCGCGTGCACAGCGGTGCACACAACGGGCTGGGGGCGCGCAGGGCTTCAGCTCTGCTGCTCCTCACCTCTCCCCCGTGATGCATCCCGCTATGAGAATTTCTTGGAAAGCTTCTGAGCACAAAGAAGCTCTATCACAGAAATCGCAGAATCGTGGAATCCTTAGAGTTGAAAGGGTTTGAAGACCGTCTTCTCCAACTCCCCTGCAGTGAACAGGGACACCACAGCTAGATCAGATTGCCCAGAGCTTTATCCAGCCTGGCCTTGAGAGTCTCCAGAGAAGAGGCATCAACCACATCACTACATAACCTCTTCCAGTGCCTCACCTCCCTCACTGTAGAAGATTTTTCCTTTTATCTAACCTAAATCTACCCTCCCTGAGCTTGAAGCCCTTGTTCTGTTGCCACAGACACTGCTAAAGAGCCTGTTGCCTTCTTTCCTGTTAGCTGCCCTTTAGATCCTGAAAGGCTGCTCTCAGATCACCTCGCAGCCTTCTCTTCTCCAGGCCAAAGAGCGCTCTCAGCCTGTCCTTACAGGAGAGGTATTCCATTCCATGGATCATTTTTGTGGCCCTTCTCTGGACTCTCCGTGTCTCTCCTGCACTGAGGACTTCACATCTGGATGCAATACCCCAGGCTGCTCTTTGTGGCAGCACTCAGAGGCCAGGCAGGCTGTGAGCTCTTTGCTTTCCTCTCCCTGCTGTGTGTTAGGAGCTTGGAGACCCCCCTTTCCTCTCCCCAACCAGAGCTGCTTGCTGCCCTCTCCCTGCCCAGCAGCTGGGATGGGGCTGTGCACTTCCTTTGGGCTCACTCTGCTCGGGGCTGAGGGTTTGGTGGGGATTTGAGTCACCTCCTGTGGCTGTGGTGGAAGTGAATCATCTGCACTCACTTCAGCTGCTCCAAGTGGTGGTGATGGGGACAATTTCAGCGCCTTTCCCCGTTAGCTTCCTTGCTGCCCAGTGCTTCAGAGGGAAAGGTCGGTTCTTTTTGCTAGCTGCTTTAGAAGGAAGCCACACAGTGGGGTGATGGATTTTG